AAGTAATCTCCAAAATCCGGGAGGATCAAAAGAGTCCAGAACCGAAAAAGTCCACCACCGGGATAATCGAAAGAGTCTACCATTGGAAGAATCGAAAGAGCTCTGGTGGTTCTTTGTGGACTCTTTTGATTCTCTAGGAGAATTAAAAGAGTCCATAAAGAACCACCAGCGCCATTACATGATCTAAATCGCATGCCATTTCACGTCCCGAAGTAAAGAGCAAACCTAAAAGAGAAAAAAAACGTTAGTAATAGAAAAGAAGCAAAAAAGAAATAGAAAACTTGGACTGTACTTATCTTTCAAGACTGGGAGAATCAAAAGAGTCCAGAAGCACCAGGAGAATCGAGAGCCCAACACCGGGAGAATCAAAAGTCCAAGAATCATCAGTGGTTCTTTGTAGATTCTTTTGATTCTCCGGGAGAATCAAAGAGTCCACAAAGAACCACCGACACCATTACATGTTCCAAAACGTGCCATTTTACGATCCAAAGAACAAACCTAAAAGTGAAAAAAATGTTAGAGAAAAGAAACAAAAAACAAGAAATAGAAACTTGGACTGGTACTTATCCTTATACCAGTTCAAGTCAAACACCAAAACCCGGGAGAATCAAGAGTTCAAAATAATCAAAAATCGCCGGGGACCTCAAAAGATACCATGAAATGATGAAGAAAATCTAGTTTTAGCTTAGAAAACCCACTATTAAAAACTAAAAAAACGATGACGAGAAAACGGTAATTAAAGTTGAAGATCTAAATTTCTAGAATATTCTATTAGCTTCTTGTCAATCTAGAAATCGATCTTTTCTATTTTTAGATTAGCTTAACTTTTTTGGTTTTTAGCATTTCACCGATTTTTTTATTATGTAATTTGTTCTTGTGCTTTATAATAATTTTTTTCTTTGAATGCATATCTATTAATAAATCTAATAAAAAATTTTTTTTTAAAATGTAAAAATGGGCCCTTTTAACTTGGGATACCCCATATATTACTTTTTTTGTAAATTTTTGATTAATATATATATAGTACTGATACTGTAAATAGCAAAGTAGCAATTTGCTAGCATATATATTAACTAAATTTACTAATCTTAAATTTTATTTTTTATATTTTATATTCAATTTTTTTTTAGATTTATATAATTATATAATGATTATAATCATGCCACACAAACGTAAAAGTTCATCAACTCCACCACATATTGCAAATCTTCCTCAATATGCACATTTATCACCCAACGATCTCCCAGATGAAGAAGCAGTTAAAAAAAGAAGATTAGATACCAAATGCAAACTGTTACTAAATGGTATAGAGATAATTCAGATTATATAGTTCCATCATCTACTACTACATCTGCAATATCAACTTCAACAACATTTTTGGCAACAACCTCAGCAACAACTTTAGCAACAACTTTAGCAACAACCTCAGCAACAACCTTAGCAACAACCTCAGCAACAACCTTAGCAACAACCTTAGCAACAACCTCAGCAACAATCTCAACAGCCTTAGCAACAGCCTCAGCAACAACCTCAGCAACAACCTTAGCAGCAACCCTAGTAACAGCAAGTTTGGAATCAGTATCAGCATCAGGTGGCTCTCAATCTTTTATTTCAACAACACTTGCTAAATTCTTTAATGAATCAACTTAATTTGATCCATTACCAAATATACAACAACGAGAATTAAATAGAATTAGACAACAGCAATATCAACAACAATTAACATCTGACCAACAACAACAAATACAAGAAACAAATAGAATTCAGCATCAAAATTATAGAGCAGCAAATTCAACTCAACAAGCAACACAATCTCAAAATATTGTAAAATATAGTTTAGATAATTTTACTATAGAATAAGAAAATAAATTTGATCTTTTAGAATGGCAGCATAAGCTTGACAATATGAATATTTGATGTAATCATTGTCAAGCTTTATAGTGGAAATCTAAAACATTAGGATTTTGTTGTAAAAATAGCAAGATTCAATTAGCATTGCTTGAACCTCCTCCACCAGCTATTTTACAGTTATTAACTAAATTAGATATTAATACTGGTAAGAGATATGTTCAAAAAATACGATCTTATAATTTTGCATTTGCTTTTACATTTTTGGGTGTAAATCAAAATACAAGTATTTTAGAACCTGATAAACCTTGGGTTTTTAAAATTTCTGGAGCTTTATATCATAATATAGCTCTTTAAGACCAGTATCAGAATTGCCTGTATTTTTTCAAATTTATTTTCATGATAGTAATTTTGATACTCAGTTTGAAATAAGAAGTCAAGCTTCATCAAATTTAAATTTAAATTTAAATTTAAATATGATGAGATTTCTTCAAACTGAACTTAAAGAACTTAATCCTTTTGTTCAAATTTTTCAAAGTGCTAGACAGCAATTTCAAGTTAATTCTAATTCTAATTTGAGATTAAAAATTTCATCAATACATAGTCAAGATATAAGAACCTACAATACACCAACTGCTTCAGAAATTGCAGCTATAATTAATGATGATGATGAAATTAACTCTGGTAGAGATATTATTCTTACTACACAACAGGTTTATTTGCAATATATAACAGAATTACATGGTGCCTATGATCCATTACAGTACCTACTTCTTTTTTCAAGAGGTGAATATGGATGGCATACTGATATTTTGCAAACTATTATAACTAATAACAATACTAATAAATTAGAAGAATCTTTACAATTAAATCCTAATCATTCTTAAACTAAAGAAAAACATGTAACAATTAGAGAGTTTGCATGTTATAGATTACAGATAAGGCATCCTGATAGTATTTTGCATCTTGCAAGACATTTATTTCAACAATATATTCTTGATCAATATGCAAAATATGAGCAAATAGCTTAAGATAGTATAGAAAAAATCAAACCCATTTAAGAGCTGAATTTTATAAAAGATTTGAAAATATTGTTAATAATGATGAAGCTGATCTTTCAAATATTGGAAAAAAAGTTATTTTGTCTTCATCATTTACAGGTTCAAAACAATATATGCAACAGTTATATCAAGAAGCTATGGCTACTGTAAGAGAATATGGTAAACCAGATTATTTTATAACAGTAATCTGTAATCCTAAGTGGCCTAAAATAACTGGAACACTTTTAGATGGACAAAAACCTAATGATAGACAAGATCTTGAATCAAGAGTCTTTAGATTAAAATTAAAAGAAATTAATAAAGATTTATATAAAAAAAGTATATTAGGACGTAATGTGGCTCATATTCAAGTAATTGAATTTCAAAAATGAGAATTACCACATGCTCATATACTTATAATACTTATTCCAGAAGATAAACTACAAACTTCTAATAATTATGACAATATAATATCTGCTGAGATTTTAGATCTAGCTATACAACCTCAGCTTTATGAAATTGTCACTCAATATATAATGCATGGTCCATGTGGAAGTTTAAGTTTATCTTCTCCATGTATTAAAGATGGTAAATATAGTGAAAATTATCCACATGATTTTAATAGTGTAACTATTGTAAATAAAAATAGTTATCCAGTCTATCATAGAAGAAATTCTGGTTATTCAGTTATAAAATCTGGTAAAATACTTGATAATAGATGAGTGGTTCTATATAATCTGTACCTTACTTTAAAATATAATTGTCATATCAATGTAGAGATATGTTCTAGCATTAAATCAGTAAAATATCTCTATAAATATGTTTATAAAGGTTCGGATAGAGCGATTATTTCTGTTGAAAATAATTCTGATAATAATTCTAATAATAATTCTGATAATCCAAATAATCAGAATAATTATCAGAATAATCGAAATAATTCTGATAAAATTAGAAGTTATTTAGATACAAGATATATTTCTGCATTGGAAACTTGCTAGAGATTATTTGATTTTAATCTTCAAGAAAAGTCTCATCATATTGAAAGATTATTTGTACACTTGGAAAAACAGCATATGGTATTATATAATAATTCAATAAGCATATCTGATTTATTAAATGAAAAGTTAGATACCAAGTTGACAAAATTTTTTAAAATTTGTGCAACTCATCCATTTGCAAGTGATCTTTTATACACTAATTTTCCAAACCATTTTACTTGGAGCAATAGTCAATGAAAACCAAGGAAGCAATGAGGTGATAAAACTATTGCTAGAATGTATATAGTTAATCCAAGAGATAAGGAACAATATTGCCTCAAATTACTTTTAACTCATATCAAAGGACCAACATCTTTTGAGCATTTGAGAACTGTTGACAATATTGTATATCCTACTTTTAAAATAGCTGCAATTCAACTTGGTTTAATAGAAAATAACCAAGAGTGGGATTTATGCCTTAGAGAGGCATCACTTTATTAGATGCCTAAACAACTAAGGCAACTATTTGTAACTATTTTAATAGATTGCAGGCCCACAAATATTTTAGAACTTTGAAATACATATCTACCTGCTTTATTAGAAGATTTTGTATATAATCCAAACTCTAAACATGTTGCTTTAGATTATAATGATCCAAGAATAGTTATCCAAGTTCTTTTGGATCTTGAAAAATATTTATTTCAAAATAGAAAATCACTTTTAGATTTTCCTGAACTTCCAATTCCTGATTTAGCTTTTTGGAACAATCTCAAAAAAGAGCAACAAATTAGTTATTATTTGAAGAAACAAGTTATGAACAGATTTATTTTGATGATTATATATCAAAAATAGATACTTTAAATCCATAACAAAAGTTAATTTTTGATACAATAATTATTTCTGTTTTTCATAATGGAAATCAAAAAATATTTTTCATTAATGTGCCTGGTAGAACTAGAAAAACCTATCTGTATAATATTTTATTAGCATATATTTGAAGCAGAGAATATGTTGCTTTAGCTGTTGCTTCATCTGGCATTGCAGCATTATTAATTATTGGTAGTAGAACTGCTCACTCGAGATTTAAGATTCCTTTAGTATTTATACAAAAAATCTACCTGTGATATTCATAAACAATCTGAATTAGCAGTTCTAATTAGAAATGCTGCAATTATTTTTTGGAATGAAGCCCCAATGATTAGCAAGTTAGCTTATAAAGCTGTTGATCAAACTTTTAAGGATATAATGGGCAATCAACTTGAGCCTTTTGGTAGAAAAATAATGGTATTTGGTGGTGACTTTTGACAAATATTACCAATAGTTCCTCGAGGTTCCAGGACCCAAGTTATTAATTCAAGTTTGAAAAAAGCTTCTTTTTGGAGTGATACTCATATTGTGAGATTAACTATTAATATGAGAGTTTTACAAGATCCATCACAACAAGGTTTTGTAAACTTTTTATTGAGAATTGGTGAAGGTAGAGAACTAACAATTGGAGGGGATTATATTAAAGTGCCACAGCAAATAATTATAAATAGCACTACTGTTACTAACTTGATATCAGAAATATTTCTTAATATTTCTATTAATTACAATGATATAAATTATATTATTGAAAGAGCTATTTTAACACCTAAAAATGATGATGTTGAATTAATAAATCATCAAATACTTGATTTAGTTCCAGAGGAAGGACAAATATATTTATCTACTGATTCAGTTGAAGATAATGACTCAGTACATGAAAGTTTATATCCTATAGAATTTCTTAACACACTTACTCCAAGTGGCTTGCCACTACATAAGGCCTATTCTTAAAGCTAGAGTACCTGTAATTTTTTTAAGAAATTTAAATCCTTCTGAAGGTTTATGTAATGGAACTAGACTTATTGTAAGAGAATTTCATAATCATGTTCTAGATTATGAAATTCTTACAAGATCATTTCTTGAAAAAAGAGTTTTTCTTCCAAAAATGACTTTATCTCCAACTGATACTGTTTACCCATTTACTTTGATTCATAAACAATTTCCAGTTTGTTTGGTCTATACTTTGACTATCAATAAAGGACAAGATCAAACAATTCCCTTAGTTGGTTTATATCTGCCACAACCAGTTTTTACATAGTCAACTCTATGTAGCTCTTTCTTGAGTACTTCATGTGAAAGTATCAAAATTTTGTTGATAAATCCGCGAACTGACAAATCTGACGATGGAACGACAAATGTTTACACCAAGAACATAGTATATAGAGAAATTTTCAATTAAATTATTTTTATATTTAAAATAAAAAACTAGAATCTTATTGGAGACACAATTTGTGAGTGTTACTAGTTAAGTACCCAGACTTGATATAAGGTGGACAGCTTATTATAAACATCCTTCTTTATTCAATTATAAAAATCTTTTTATTATTTCTTTATAGTTTAGCTTTTTTTATTTTTTAAAAATTCTTTTTATTTTTTAAATTTTTTATAATTAAAATAAAGAACTGGAATCCTATCGGGGACACAATTTGTGAGAGTTACTAGTCAAGTACCCAGACTTGATATAAGATGAACAGCCTATTGTGAACGACCTTCTTTATTTTATTATAAAAAAATTATACTAATCTTTATTTCTTTATAGATTATTTTATAACTATTTTTTGCTTCTTTATATGTATTTTTTTTATTTCTTTATATGTATTTTTTATTTTTAATTCTTTTTAGATAAAATTAAACTTATATAAAGTGATTAAAATAATAATATCTAAAAATTATATTATAATTATATTATATAAAATGCAGTATAATATTATACAAAGTAAACAAAGTAAAGAAACACGAGTAAATATAAATATGAGAGACCGCAGCAAGGCTGCAGGTTTATGACCTAGTTTATAGAGATATTTTATTAATTTAATGCTAGAACATATCTCTACATTGATATAACAATTATATTTTAAAGTAAGATACAGATTATATAAAACCATCTATCTATTATCAAGTATTGTACCAGATTTTATAACTGAATAACCTGGATTTCTTCTACAATAGACTGGATAACTATTTTTATTTATAATAGTTACACTATTAAAATCACGTGGATAATTTTTACTACATTTACCATCTTTTATACATGGAGAAAATAAATTTAAACTTTCACATAGACCATACATCATATGTTGAGTGACAATTTCATAAAGCTGAGGTTGTATAGTTGGATCTGGAATTTCAGCAGATATTATATTGTCATAATCATCAGAAGTTTGTGGTTTATCTTCTGAAATAAGTATTATAAGTATATGAGCATATAGTAATCCTCATTTTTGAAATTCAATTACTTGAATATGAGCTACATTGTATCTTTATATACTTTTTTTATATAAATCTTTAGTAATTTCTTTTAATTTTAATCTAAAGACTCTTGATTCAAGATCTGGTCTATCATTAAGTTTTTGTCTATCTAAAAGTGCTTCAGTTATTTTAGGCCACTTAGGATTACAGATTACTGTTATAAATAATCTGGTTTACTATGTTCTCTTACAGTAGCCATAGCATCTTGATATAACTGTTGTATATATCATTTTGAACTGTAAATGATGAAGGCAAAATAACTTTTCTTCCAATATTTGAAGAATTAGCTTTATCATTATTAAAAATATTTTCAAATCCTTTATAAAATTCAGCTCTTAAATAGGTTTGATTTTTTCTATACTATCTTAAGCTATTTTGCTTATATTTTGCATATTGATCAACAATATATTGTTGAAATAAACATCCTACAAGATGCAAAATACTATCAGAATGCCTTATCTGTAATCTATAAAATGCAAACTCTCTCATTGTTACATGTTTTTCTTTAGCCTGAGAACAATTAGGGTTTAATTATAAAGATTTTTCTAATTCATTAGCATTGATATTACTTATAATAGTTTGCAAAATACCAGTATGCCATCCATATTTACCTCTTGGAAAAAGAAGTAGGTACTATAGTGGATCATAGGTAGAGATAGGCTCCATGCGCATAAATGCATGCATGTGTGTATATATATGATTTATGCAATTTTATGCTAATATGCCCATACAAGATTAATATAACTATCTCTTTTACAGATTAAATATTTTCT